TAAAGGTGACACTGGACTGTTTTGGATTGCTATCGGGGGGGGGGGGGGCTCTGCAACTAACCTGACTGCTTCTTGCTCTTTGTGGCCCGGGGCTGCTGGGAACAGGGAGTAGGGCTTGTTACCTGTGCCCGCCCCCTGGTCTCCTTACTGCCGGAGCTTCGCTCCTGTGCGCTCCTGCAGGAAATGACCCCTGGTTTGAAGGTTTCCAGGAGAATCGTGGAGGATGAAGTGAGGAATCCAGACTTGGAGAGTCTTAATTGAGGAATTAGAGTCTTAATTGAGATACTACTGATGTGCCTAGCCGAGTGCCAGCTGGACCAAAGGGTGTGTGTGTGTGTGGGTACACGTGCCCCATATGCACTGCACTAGGACCACTACTGGAAAAGTATGAACCTTGGTAGTGCTGTGCGCCTAAGTAATCTTAGCAGGACACGGAAACTGGGCCTCTTGACCACTGACAGCATTCCATTCCTCCCAGATTCTAGAGCATGTTCTTTGAGTTTCATGCAATCCACGATCATGGGGAAGGGGTGTGGCTCAGTGGTAGATCATCTGCTTGGCAAGCAGAAGGTCCCGGGTTCCATCCCCGGCACCTCCAGTTTAAAAAGGTTCTGGCAGTAGGTGATGTGAAAGACCTCTGCCTGAGACCCTGGAGAGCTGCTGCCAGTCTGAGTAGACAATACCGACCTTGATGGACCAAGGGTCTGATTCAGTATAAGGCAGCTTCCTGTGTTTAGGAGGGGCTGTGGCTCAGTGACAGAGCATCTGCTTGGCATGCAGAAGGTCCCAGGTTCAATCCCCGGCATCACCGGTTAAAAGGATCAAGTAGGAGGCGAAGTGAAAGACCTCAGCCTGAGACCCTGGAGAGCTGCTGCCAGTCTGAGTAGGCAATACCGACCTTGATGGACAAATGGTCTGATTCAGTAGAAGGCAGCTTCATGTGTTCATGACAGCATCTAAAGGACATTCTAAACACACACACACACACCAAAGGAAAGAACCTCTTTAAGAATACCTAGAGAGCTAAACACCTTTATTGTGTAATTTTATAAGCCCAGGGGCTCCTTTAAGACCAACAAAGTTTTATTCAAAGTGTAAGCTTTGGTGTGCGTGAAGAAGTGTGCAAGCACATGAAATTGATGGACAAAGGGTCTGATTCAGTAGAAGGCAGTTTCATGTGTAGAGGAGGGGCTGTGGCTCAGTGACAGAGCATCTGCTTGGCATGCAGAAGGTCCCAGGTTCAATCCCCGGCATCTGCGGTTAAAAGGATCAAGTAGGAGGCGAAGTGAAAGACCTCAGCCTAAGACCCTGGAGAGCTGCTGCCAGTCTGAGTAGGCAATACGGACTTTGATGGACAAAGGGTCTGATTCAGTAGAAGGCAGTTTCATGTGTAGAGGAGGGGCTGTGGCTCAGTGACAGAGCATCTGCTTGGCATGCAGAAGGTCCCAGGTTCAATCCCCGGCATCTGCGGTTAAAAGGATCAAGTAGGAGGCGAAGTGAAAGACCTCAACCTGAGACCCTGGAGAGCTGCTGCCAGTCTGAGTAGACAATACTGACCTTGATGGACCAAGGGTCTGATTCAGTAGAAGGCAGCTTCATGTGTTCATGACAGCATCTAAAGGACATTCTAAACACACACACACACACCCAAAGGAAAGAACCTCTTTAAGAATACCTAGAGAGCTAAACACCTTTATTGTGTAATTTTATGAGCCCAGGGGCTCCTTTAAGACCAACAAAGTTTTATTCAAAGTGTAAGCTTTGGTGTGCGTGAAGAAGTGTGCAAGCACATGAAAGATAAGCTTGAATAAAACTTTGTTGGTCTTCAAGGTGCCCCTTGACTCAAACTTTGTTCTCCTGCTTCAGACCAACAGGGCCACCCGCCTGAATCAATGTAATTTTATGTAAACCTGGTTTAAAATCCTCCGCCTCTTGCCGCCCCCTTTCCTCCCATTTGCGTTAGGTAACCAAGTGGGTGCAATAGCGCACGGAAATGATTTGGGCGACCTTGAGCCGAAAGCTCATCTGTGCTTTGGCATACCTTGTGCCCTGCCGTTGCTTCAGCCCGGCTCTGTCAATATTTGTCTAGCTTTTTTGCGCTAAGTGCGCATAATCTTCCCTTTTATCCAGCCAGAGAGAGCTTCGCTGACTTGCAAAATGTTAAACTGCCACCCGCTGGCACCGTCCGGTATTGCAACACTCTCGGGCCTGCGTCTTGATTGCTCCATCTGGCTTTCTTGCCGTTTGCGTTGGCAGCCGTCCAGAGGCCGGTGCGCCAACACAATGAGCCGCTTATGGGAAACCTCGCCAGAAAATGCGGCTTGGCGCTCTACTCATCCCTTTCCCGCTGATGAAATTGGAATTGCTTCATTCATGACAAAAGGCCTTAATAAATCAGACTGGTTCACAGCTGTCAGCCGCAGTCAGAGAGGAGTCCTGGGTTTGGGTACCATGGACATTTCAGCACGCTGTCTGCTGAGGGTCAGGCGATTCCTACGAAAGTGGAAGAGCGTTTTCTGCAGCCGTTTCTCCAGCTGTTCTGCTGTTCGGCCAGGCAGTGTCTGCAAAGCATCATGGGGCAGAAGCTCAATACACAGGCCCTGCTGGAGAAAAACACCACAGGCCGAGAAATGAGGGATTATTTGGGGGGGCAAGCTGAAGATGGTGGTGGAAGGTGCCCTCAGGTTGCAGCCGACTTAAGGTAACCCCAAGACCATAGAGTTTTCAAGACAAGCGGTCAACAGTGGTGGTTTGCCATGGCCTGCCTGCATCTCCATAGCAACCCTGGACTTCCTTGGTGGTCTCCCATCCAAGTCCTAACCAGGGCCGACCCTGCTTAGCTTCCAAGATCTGACGAGATCAGGCTAGCCTGGGCCATCCAGGGCAGGGCAGAAGTGACAACCCGACAAAAATGGTTCCTCTAGTCCAGGGGTGTCGAACTCATTTGTTATGAGGGCCGGATCTGACATAAACGAGAGCTCCTTGGGCCGGGCCACATGCGTCATAAAAGGTAACGCCAGTTAGCGGAGATAGAAACTTTATAAAGGACGCAAACACAAAGATTGTTTTTTTAGCTTAAAATAAAAACATGCTTAAAACATTGGCACTCTTGCAGTGTTTTGTTTATTTAACAGTGTCTGATCGCTGACACCTCTTGCTCTGAATTATTGCATCAAAATGTCTGTGCTGCTGCAATCTTGAGTCTGCTGTTCAGGTGTGTATCTGTAAGCTGCAAACCTACGATGACGCAGCAGCAGCAGAACTGGAAGAAGAAGCAGAAGACAGCCAGTTCCACTGAGTGCCTGAGAGAAGCCCTCCGGGGGCCTGATCCGGCCCCCGGGCCACATGTTTGACACCCCTGCTCTAGTCCATCTGCCCTCCTGAACGAGACCTATCAGTCGTTCTCTCATTGCTTTCTTGGCAGTGGTGCTAATTATTACCAGCTGCATGATGTCTTTGTTGATTAACTTTTATTGTTCTCTTCCAGACTATTCTAAAGATCCTCGTCTCGGGCGGAGGGAAATCCCGAACCGGAGTCATGATCCCGATCCCCCAGTATCCCTTGTATTCAGCAGTCATTTCAGAGCTGGATGCCGTTCAGGTGAACTATTACCTGGATGAAGAGAACTGCTGGGCCCTTGACGTGAATGAGCTCCGCCGCTCTCTGGAAGAGGCCAAAGCTTATTGCAATCCGAAAGTCCTGTGCATCATCAATCCAGGAAATCCCACAGGTCCGCAGAACTTTTGTCGCTCTGCACTAAGCAAAGCAAGCTTTGTGTGTATCGTTCAAGACGCTGGTCTCCGCTTGTACTGTTCTACATTTTGGGAGGGTGGGCTCAGAATGAGGGCTGGACTGCATATTACAGGCATTATTATTAATTTATCCAGCACCAACAGTGTGCATGGCATTTTATGGATTACGGGACGTAGGTCTCTGCCCCAAGGAGCATACAACTCCCCCGAGGAGCCGATTTGAGACAGTGGAGGGTGGGATAAGGAAAGCAAAGTGAAAAGTACGCAGACGGAGAGTGATTTCAGCAAAGCGTACTTTATTCGATCAGGGACAAGACACCTTGGCTGGCTCGCAGGCCGGCTTATATTCCCCCCAAGAAACCACCACCCAAAACACACCCCCACTTCCCAATAGGTTATTTACAGTGGCCGAGAGTCCCATAGGCTCTCGGCCGGGAACCTAGCCTCCTGATTGGAGCGGGTTAGGATCCTCAGAGTCTTGTTGAGTGAAGCTCGACATTTGTGCCTGACCGCGTGGAGCCCAAGTCGACCACGCGGTCTGAACTGGATACATTACGCAAAGGGACTCAGGTTCACCTCTCTTACATGAACTTGGGCTTTGTTTCAGTGAGGGATGGGGGCAAAGAGGTTGAGCCGAGGGCTTCCTGGAAAAGGCGGGCTTTGAGAAAGGGGTTGGAAGGAAGTGACTTCACGCTGGCATTCTGGGAGGCAATCCCAGCCATAATGGGCAGCAAGGGAGAAAGGGCGGAAACATCTGAGAGCGCAAGAGACCTTTGAGCAGCCAAGAGTGCTGGACTGAAAACGCCTGGTGAGGACTAGCGCCTTGATGCTGGGTTTCAAAGTTGAATCAGTTCCTGATTCTGAAAACATCTAAGTGGACCAAGCTTCTTTTTGTGTGTTGTTGTCTTTAGCTTTGCTTCACCTGCACCTTTGTGCACACGCTTTGCTTGCTCTCTGCCTCTTGGCAATGTAGTGGGCCATTGTATCCCCTGCCGTTTCCCATCTGGATGCACACAAAGCTGCCTTGTTCTGAATCAGATGCTTGGTCCGTCAAAGTCAGGACTGTCTGCTCTGGCAGGCGGTGGCTCTCCAGGGCCGCAGTGGTCTTTCTCCTCACCAGGGGTCATTTTGTAGAAAAAGAGGTGCAGGAGCTCATTAACATAACTCATTAGCATAACTTATTTGCATAAGTCACACCCTCTGACATCACCGGAAGTGTGTCAGAAGGCAACACCCACCGCTCAGGCTCCACTGGACTGTTTTGGATTGCTAGCTATTGGGGGGTGGGGGGGAACATGCAGATCTGACCTCACAGAGGAGGAAGAGCTTGTACCTGAATAAAACTTGGTCGTAAAGGTGCCACTGGACGGTTTTGGATTGCTAGCTATGGGGGGGGGGACGCGCAGATCTGCCCTCACAGAGGAGGGAGAGCTTGTACCTGAAGGCGAGCTGGGGGGGCTCTGCAACTTACCTGGCTGCTTCTTGCTCCTCGTGGTCCGACTGAGGGCTGCTGGGAGCAGGGTATGGGGCTTGTTGCATGTGCCCGCTCCCTGGGCTCCTTACTGCCAGAGCTCCGCTCCTGTGCGCTCCCGCAGGAAATGACCCTTGCTCCGTCCTCACCTACCACCTGATCCTTTTAACTGGGGATGCCGGGAATTGAACCTGGGACCTTCTGCATGCCAAGCAGATGCTCTACCACTGAGCCACAGTCTCTCTGCTTCTTGTAGCTCCTTTACTGCTTTTACTTCATTAGAGTTTGCCTACTTCGTCATTTAAGGGAGGATGCGTGTGTATGAATGTTCCTTCTGGAGTCATAAGCCTATTGAAAGGGAGCAGGGTGTGTGTGGGGGGGGGTTGGGCAGAAAAATCACCACTGTATCTTCTGCAGATCATAACTTATTAGAACTCTTCATGTTCGCTCCTATATTCAGGTCAGGTTCAAAGCAGAAAGTGCATTGAAGACATGATACACTTTGCTTGGGAAGAGAAGCTCTTTCTTCTGGCCGACGAGGTAATAATACCCTGTTAGAACCCCCAGCTAGGGTTGCCAGACCCCCCGGTGCAGGTGGGGGTCCCCTGGTTTCAGGCACTCCTATCCCCCCCCCAATCCCCCCCCCTCTTACCGGCAGGAACCCGGAAATCATCATGATGTGCCTATGAAAACTGGGAGTGACGTAGGCAAGGTTGCCACTTTTGGGAAAGTCAGGGAAATTGTGATTAAAATATATTCAAGCAGTGGATTTTTGACCTACTGCTGCAAGAGCATAATCTCTTCTTGTGGCAAATCGAAGAGGAAACAATTGATGAGAAACGAAAAGAGTTACAAAATAAAAAGAGAAAACTGTAGAAGTGATAGTTTTATAACTTAAATCTTCATTCCTTAAGAACAGATTACTTGTATTCTAATTTCTAACTTGATTATTACTGCAGTTTCAAAACTATAAGTTTTGTAATGTGGCTTCAGAGAAACCATTTTAGGGCTCTTTTTGTAGCAGGAACTCCTTTGCATATTAGGCCACACACCCCTAATGTAGCCAATCCTCCAAAAGCTTACAGAGCTCTTCTTACAGGAGCTACTGTAAGCTCTTGGAGGATTGGCTACATTAGGGGTGTGTCGCTTAATATGCAAATTAGTATCTGCTACAAAAAGAGCCCAATGTTTATATAATGTTTAGTGTACCTTTAAAAAGGTAACAAAAATGTTCTGTCATTTGTTAGCATTCAGAGCTTACTTGAATTGAAGTTTGTATCTTGGTGTAATTTTGGGTGCAGTTGCAAAACAGAGGTTGCTGCAGTGAATGTTGAAAGAAGCTGATATTAAATCTCTCCCTTTGACAAATATTTTTGCAGTTGAGACTTGTGTAGTTGTAGAGTGGAACATTTCATTAAGCCTTGCATTAATGCAACACGACCTATTCATTCTTTAACTTGTGGTTATATTTGAATGGTGGTCAGGGAAATTGACAAATGTTGGTCAGGGAAAGTCAGGGAAATGGAAAATAAAATTTTAGTGGCAACCTTGGTAGGGACGTGGGGGGGGGATGCTCTAATTTTGGGGCAAAACTCTGATTTGAAGCAAATTTTATCATAGAGTTTTGCCCAACGACCAGAGCATTGCTCCCCCGATGTCCCTGACGTGGCCACGCCCCTTTCTGTTTACGCAGGCACGTCACAGTGCCCCTCCCGACTCCCGGGAAGTCCCTCCCCCACCAGTGCGACGCTCAAACCTGGCGACCCAACTTGTCAAAGTGCTTTTTGATTGTTCCTAATCAAGCCAAGAGCTCATTTAATGGTGTCTTCTCTCTCCACCCCCCCCCCTTCTAATGGTGCAGGTCTATCAAGATAACGTTTACTCGGAGAGCTGTCGGTTTAGATCTTTTAAAAAGGTACTTTATGAGATGGGCCCGGATTACTACAACAACGTGGAACTGGCTTCCTTTCATTCCACCTCCAAGGGGTACATGGGCGAGTAAGTGCCTGTCACCGTCTTTCCCCTTTTTTCCTCCCCACTGTATTTTGGACTGCAGTTCAGTGGAAGAAGGAGCTGTGGTGGCTCAAGTGGTTAAGAGGCTGAACTGCAGGCTGTGGAAGGTCGGTAGTTCAGCCGTTCGAGTGTGCCGCATGACGGAGTGAGCTCCCGTCTCTAGTTCCAGCTCCTGCCAGCCTAGCAGTTCGAAAGCAAGAAATTGCAAGTAGATAAATAGGGACCACTTCGGTGGGAAGGTAACAGCGTTCCTTGCGCCTTGGTGTTTAGTCATGCCGGCCACATGACCACGGAAACGCCTTTGGACAGCGCTGGCTCTTCGGCTTTGAAATGGAGATGAGCACCGCAACCCTAGAGTCGGACTCAACTGACTTTCGAGCAAGGGAACCTTTAGCTTTACCTTTCAGTGGAAGGGCCATGAGGCCCAACGGTAGGGCCCATCAGCACACGTTCGGTCCCCTTTGCAGAGCAAACCGTGCCTCCCCGGAACCATTTCAGGTCTGGGGAATTAGCGGCTGAAGCGCGTTTCCTGCCCCCACAGCTACCACTCGCTGCGGTCTCGATCCAAATCGGGTCCCGCGTGCTTTGGAAATGGGTTTTCCTCACACTTGACATGTGGCAGTCAGATCAAGGGAAGCTTCCTAGACACTGCCTATTTAAGAATCATGTCCTGACCAATGTTCCCTCTAAGCTGTGGAGTCTTGTGAGCACGAATTCTACTTTGTGAGCTACTGGCATTAAAGTCGTGAGCGAGCGATTTGCCTACTGCATAAATTAGTTTGCTCTGGAGCCATCCCTTTCTGAGCTGAGACAAAAAGGTGTGAACTGGAGGCTCGAAAAAACTGTGAGCTAGCTCACACTAACTCAGCTTAGAGGGAACACTGGTCCTGACCTGGGTAATCCAGGCAAGCCTGATCGCATCAGATCTCAGAAGCTAAGTAGGGCAAGTACTTGGAAGGGAGACCTCCAAGGATTACCAGGGCTTGGGTTGCAGAGGCAGGCGATCAAGCCACCTCTCTGAAACATCCAAACCCCACTCGGGGTCTCCAGAAGTCACCGTGACTTCCGGGCACGTGCATACATACACACACACACACACACACAAATACCCCCCCAAAAATCATAATGTGTAGTTTTGTCCTGGGATTGCAGCCTAGTGTAAGCAAGTCACTGAGCTCCACTTGTCATGTAACTTTAAATGGGGGGGGCCTTTTTTTGTAGAAAAAGCCCAGCAGGAACTCATTAGCATAACAGGCCACACCCAACAGCAGAAACTCATTAGCATAGTAGGCCACACCCCTGACAGCACAGCACATTAGCATATTAGGCCACACCCCCACGTCACCAGAAGTGTGGTCATCCAGCCACACCCACCTTTCCCTTCTTATTCTGTTTACCTTGTTTGTTGTCAAAACCCAGGGCCTTTTTTTGTAGCAGGGACTCCTTTGCATGTTAGGCCACACACCCCTAATGTAGCCAATCCTAATGAGTTTCTGCTGTTGGGTGTGGCCTATTATGCTAATGAGTTCCTGCTGGGCGTGGCCAACTCGGGAGCCAGCCGGAACTCCGTTCCTGTGCATTCC